AAATGGGGATCCTCAGTAAAACTTGGTTCTAGCCCAGCATGGTGACCTGGTAAAGAAGAAACAGTCCGTGGGACTTGAGAGCGGGAGAGCATGGCAGTTATGTTGTTGCTTTTCAGGTTAAATGAGTTTCAATTGGAGTAGATTTGGGCTTCTATATTGGAAGATAGCTATATGCCTTTTGAAGCTGTCTTGGTCGTCAGAGATGCCCAGCAAGTTATTTATTGATTAATCAGGGAGCAAAATATAGCTGAAAGAATAAAAGGGTTTCTTTTCTTGTTAAAATTTTTTAACATTTATTTTTTTTTGAGAGACAGAGACAGAGCACAAGTGAGGGAGGGGCAGAAAGTGAGAGGGAGACACAGAATCCGAAGCAGCTCCAGGCTGTGAGCTGTCGGCACAGAGCCTGACACGGAACTCGAACTCATTAACTGTGAGATTATGACCTGAGCCAAAATTGGACACAACTGACTGAGCCACACAGGTGCCCTAAAAGGGTTTCTTTTAATAATAAGGATCTTCTTTTATTTTTATTTATTTATTTATTTATTTTTCTAGAAAAGAGAGAGAGACAGCATGAGCAGGGGAGGGTCAGAGAGAGAGGGAGTCACAGACTGAAACAGGCTCCAGGCTCTGAGCTGGCAGTCAGCACAGAGCCCGACGCGGGGCTCGAACCCACGAACCGCGAGACCATGGCCTAAGCGAAAGTCGGACGCTCAACCGACTAAGCCACCCAGGTGCCCCTAAGGATCTTCTTTTAAAACATTCAACATGTTTCAAATTCTAGATATTTAGCATTGAAATGGAAAATTCCAAATATTTAAGATTAAAACAGACCCCCCCCCATAAAAACACCCAAAATAATAGTTCAGTTTTAAAAAGTAATTTTATTATCTTCATAAAGGAGGTACCGCTAACCTCCGGTGGTGGAGCATGTACACTTCAGGAGCCGTTAGGAACTGTGGCAGAGAAGCAAGAATCCTCGAGGGCTGTTTAAGCCTTGAGCATTGTTGAAGAGGCAGCAAACCAGGAACCATTCTGGCAGATAAGACAGGCCTGTGCAAGGTCTTTGCCATCAGGCACAGGAAGGGCATTGATTGCTAAACCTGAGGCCTAAGCAAGCAGTCACTGTCTCAGAAGGATATACGGTCACTGCACAGAGCTCTCACAAAGGGGAAGGGCAATTGTCAATTTGATTGTCGTCCTACATACTGTGATACATTCACACATCTAAGTTCTGATGGGAAGGCATGCAAGCGCAGTAGCTGTAGAGAGCTCTAGAAACATCTAGTCCACATAGCTCGCATTTGAAAGGACTGTTCTGTCATGAAGAGGAAAACAGGTAGTGCTCTCTTTCCCTATGTGAGATTAACAGAACTTAGGAAATCCAGTCTAATGTCCGATGTCTGGAAAATGCTGAAAATAGGTACTTGCCATATGGTGGGCGAGGGGTTTGAAGCTTTCTAGGTATTGATTCCTTTGTCCCTATGTTAGGTGTTAGTACCCTCTTCTCCATTCTATAAATGAGAAGCTGAAGCTCAAGAAAGTCCCAAGAAAAAGAGAGAGAGAAAGCGAGAAAGGAAAGAAAAAGGAAAATTCCTATTCTGCCCAACAACTAGGAGAGCTGGATTTGAACCAAATTACTTGATCCCAAACCAGCCATTTCACCCCCCTACACTATACTAGGGTTGTGTTTTATCCCACTGTTTCATTTTAGATGGGAAAACAGAAGGAAGAAGGACCATTGTAAGAAAATAAGGATGTAACTCAACCCATAAGCAAGATTGCTATGGAAATAGAGTTTACAGTAAGGTTAGGAAACCAGAATAAAGCAAAAAGCAGCAACAGTAAATGCAATGAAACAAGGAGAAATTTCTGCACCTCCAAGAGACATCTTGAGTGTTTCCCAGTGCTGAATGGTCGGAAGGTACTCATGGAAGATTGATCTCTCCACAAGAGGCAAGGCATCCTTGTATTTAGTGAATAGCTGAACTGATTTTGAACACTCTGACTATAAAAATCTGAAATATTTATTTTAGAGTCAGAGAACCCAGGGCAGGTGTATGCAGAGTGAAGGTGGTTCAGATCTGAAAACCTTAAAGAATGAAATGGGACCTGACCGGAATTCAGATTGACCGATAACTCTTAAAACCCTTAGCTCCGCCCTTAGCTCCGCCATGTTAGTGGTGCAAAGGTACCAGCTGAATGCTTCAGAGGGAGCCTGTGTAACTCACACTCTAATCTGGTGAAGAAGGAGGTAAAGAGAGCCTGAATGGAAACAAGCTGGTTCAGCCAAGGGACCTTTTCCTTCCACGGAGTTCCTCATCCCGGGAAGAGAGCATTACAGACCCTGTCCCGGGCATGTGTTCACATGACTTTCCAGTTACATTCCCGTCCGCATGCGCAGCACACAAGGTAACTAAATGCCTCAGAGCCACCCCCAGGTGCATCACTACAGAAAAGTTAGAAAGTATCCCCTGACTCGTATTTGGCAAAAATAAGGTGAGTGACTTGGGAGAGACCCCAAAGGTCCATGTGTTCTTTGGCTGTTCACACTATGTCCCAACTGCTTGTTAGTGAAAACAAAACTTTGTCATAGCAACGCCAGGAACCAAAGATGTCTGGCTGTCCTGTATGACATCCACCCTGCCTGATCACACCCCACCATGGTGAGCCACGGCACCTCTGGAGCTAATGGCAATAAAAACATTTTCAGTTGGCCGGCACTCACTTCTGCTAGTTGATCTCAATCTGTTTTTTGTTTTTTTTTTTAAATTTTCTCCTCGTCTGTCCCATAGCTGTGTTAATGGGAAATAAAGGGTCACGTTCACCTTACAGTATGGGGGGGAGGGGTTGTAGTGCAGGGGCCAAGAGCTTGGGCTCCATCTCTAGGGTGTCTGGCTTCAAGTCCAGACACTTGTGTGCTTGTGCGGCTTGGAGCATGCATACTTCTTCCTCATCTGTAGACCAGATGTCTTCCTCAAGGGGTTATTGAGGAGATTGAAGGGAGATCAAGCCTGAGAAACGTTCTGCACGGAGCCTGCCACATAGTAAGCAAACGACACACGTTAGCTCCCATTAATATTCTTGGGCTGTTACTTACCAGGTTTCATTCTGATACTGAGTTGGCATATCTTCCCTCCTGGCCACTTGAAGCTGAAGGGCTACCTGTAGTGAATGGTTACCCCACAGAGAGGCACCCTGGCTCAACTTTATTAAGATGTGGCCTCTCTTTTTAAAGAAGGGCTACACTTTGGTTGTATCACCCCTTACATTTCATTGGGAAACAGGTCGAAGAATTGAGCTTTTTGAATAGTGTTATTATGTGAATCCTTCCTTTCTCCATATACTCAGAATTGAGAATTTTCTCGTACTGAGACATGCACGTGATTAGAAAATTTAAGTCTAGGAGGAAGGTAGTTGTGTGTGGCAGGTTTTGGGGAAGAGACCAGAAGCAGCGAGCCTGCCACAGCTCCACTGTGCACAGCGTGATCCCTCCAACCCCTCCTCCACCCTGTGTGTCTCAAAGACATGAAACAATACTTCACACCCCTCAAGTGAATTCCAGTAGAGTCTGATCACTGCCCGACTTGAATTGGCCGGGTGGGTTTGCTCTCATTATTTCAGATGTGAATTACGTAGTGATGCCACATCCTTATTTTTAGAGGAGGTTTTTGGCTCAGTTACATTCATGTTCAAGGTGCCAGATATCAGTAGAAGCAGTACCAAAGAGGAAAGATCCTATTCCTAACGTAGAACTGGCAAAATCTCCTCTCCAAGCAATACCTGTACGGAGGGGAGTGAGTCTTTCAATTGAGACTAGGCCTTGGGTTTTCTTTGCAGAGGTTTCCAGAATGTGCCAGGCAGGGTGCAAGGCAGCTAACCCTACTTTATACATTTCCTGCCCACTGCCATCACCGCCACTCACTCTCAGGGTCCTCGAGGCATATGTTACAAAGTCTGGCTTCTTTTCTCTTTCTGAGTGGCCAACCACAAACCTTACCTCAGTGACTCAGTGACTCTATGTGGGGATAGCCTCACGTCACGTAATTAACGTTGAGTCAATTATCAACGAAGTGTTTACCAACAATAAATTCTAGCTCATTCCTTCAACAAATGTCCATGCCTTCTACTTACCTACATGAACATCAGGCATATACAGTGGTGAAAAATTAAATCCTGTGAGAGCAGAAGTGGTAACTAAAGTTTGCAACGATAATACACATGATGCGGAAAAACAGCCAACAATAGACATGGGATTTATGAATTGTATTCATGAAGGAAATTTATGAATGACCCTGAGAGAAAATAAGGGTAACCATTCTGGATTGAAAGATCAGAGAGGGCTTCTTTGAGGAGGTGATATGTAAAGCCAAGACTGAAGGAGGAAAAAAATACCAGTAAAATTGGGGATCAGAGCACTTCAGGCAGAGCTGGGATAAGAACCCTGAAGCAGGGATGTGCCCCGTGTTCCATGAGTGATGTTGGGTAGTGAGAAGGGGGAGAGGAAGGCAGGGGCAAAACCCCGAGGCCCTGGGAGTTGTGACCTTATTCTAAGGGGTCGCTGGTGCCAAAAACAGGCTAGGAGCCATCTAAACTCTGTTCTTAAAAGACCTCTCTGGCCCTTGGGCTCCAGGGGATTTGAAGAGAGCAAGAACAAAGGCAGGAAACCTGCAGAGAAGGTCATTGCAGTGGTCTGGTGATGGGGGCTGGGATCGTGGCCACAGAGGTAAAGGGAAATGTGTGTGACGGGAGAGCCAGAAGGTTTTGGAGGGGACTGGGAAGAGACGGTAAAAAGAAGAAAAGTCCCCAAATGCATTTTCAAGGCTGATCGCACAGCCAGTTCTCCTTTCTCGTTCTTTCTAGGTTATACTTTCCCTTCGTCAGAATAGTCACAAGTCTTTTTTTAGCCAGCTTCGTTTTCAGTAAACGCTAGGGACACAGGCCAGTGTTGATTCTGAAGCCATGGTCTGAAATCTTACAAGGCACCGTTTATTTTACAGCCCACCAGGACTTCCTCTGAAAGCATTTACTCTAGACCAGGCTCCAGTATTCCTGGGTCTCCAGGTCATACTATCTACGTAAGTATTTACTTCTGGAAAAGATACTTCCGGGATAGGTAAAGGAGCAGATTGTGATAGTGGAGGGGTGATCCAAAATAGAATAATTGGAAATGACTTCTATTTCTGTTATGAGATCCGGTTTTCATTTTTGAAGATCAGCCTTCTCAACCATGTCTTCCTTCGGGTAATTAAATGGATATGCCAATGTAGCCATTGATGTCAGTGACCCATAAAATGCAATAAAGCTATGTAGGACTAAAACGTGCTGTGCCTAACTGGGATATAGATACTCGGGGATTAATTATACATTTCAGAATGCTGATACTGAGTATTCTTAAATTCTGCCACAAAGGTATTTAAATATTTAGTTTATCAAATATGCAGTTCTTGTTTTTAGCCATCTGGGAGGATTTTTTTGACCATCTGTTTGAGCTCTTCCATCTCTGTAATAAATTTAGGAAAATTATCCTGAAGGTTTTTAGGCTTTTCTACTTGGTTTATCCTACGAAGACTTTTTCCTAAGCTTTTAATGACTTTTTAAAAATGTGATTAATATATGGTATAAATCAGCAACTTTCTAAAGCAAAATGCCTTTGGTTTTAAAACTAAGCAAAATGTTATGATTTTTGTTTATTTTTAAGGTCTTCACCTTTTGAGCAGGACATGAAATAACACTTAACAATAGTTCCCCAGAGAAAATCCTGAAGAACAATTTTTCTTTCTGTTTAACTTTGCCAGGCGAAAGTGGACAATGAAATCCTGGATTATAAGGATTTAGCAGCCATTCCCAAGGTCAAGGCAATATACGATATTGAGCGTCCAGATCTTATTACCTATGAGCCTTTCTACACTTCGGGCTATGAGGACAAACAGGAGAGGCAGAGCCTGGGAGAGGTAATAAATTCTAGAAGCTGTGAGTTATACATCTTCACTTTTGTCACATGTGTAAGAACTAATTGGAATCCAAAAAAGGCCAAGGGTCCTTTGGACTGCCTACTGTTTGCAGGCTTCCCTACTACGTGCTTTGAGGTACTCAGGAGCCTAACACACCACCCCTGGGCTCGGGAGGTGACAGGGGGGTGAAAGAGTAGACCAACCAGAGAAAATAACAGTGAAGGTTGAACCAGCATTAGTACCAGGTTGTGGGAGAGCAGAGCGGGCATACTGGGAAGGAAGTCCATGTTGTCAGGGGAGAATCTGAGCTGGGCAGAGGGGATAATGGAGGGAGAGTGTTCTGGGGTCTTGATCTGGGGGCAGACTGAAGTCTCTTCATGGGGATCGTGAGGAAAGAGAACATACATCCTGAATCATGACAGCTACAATCCGCAGCATCTTAGAATAGTTAGAATGTGCGAGAACAGAAAGAGTAGAGAGGTGGCGTCCACAGAATGGCATAACCATGTGAACCCATGTTCTGGAATCAAACTACCTGTGCTGAACCTGGGAGCTCCCATATGCTGCTTGTATGACTTTGGCTATGTGACAACCATTCCGACCCCTAGTTTGTTCATCTGTAAAGCAGGATGACAGAATTCACCTAATAGGATGTTCGTAAAGATTAAATAAACTGTCTGTTAAAAGCTAATATCTATATAATATCTAGATAACTTATTATCTATTAAAACTAATCTGTATAAACTAATCTGTTAAGCCACTTAGCAGAGTCAGACTCATGGTAAATGTTCAGCAAATGACAGCTGCTACTGTGGTCGTTACCTGTCCCCTTAAGGTTTATTAACGCTCTCCCAACATCAATGGTCCAGAGCCTGGAACGCAACCTCTCAGCCCCTTGAGGTCCTTCCCATCCCTTCCCAGGGCAGGGGGCTCCCTGCTGTCACCACCTACCTGGGTCATGAGGGCTCTGGTCTGTTTCCTCTGGCATGTTCAACTTGATCTAAACTTTTTTTCCCTTTTTATTTTTAAAATGGGAATCATCTATAGACTCTTTTGAGCCCAGTCAGAGAGATGTTCCCCAGGTATTGGACTGAAATTAGCTGTTCAAAGTTAAAACAGACTGTACACTATTTAACAGCACACAGCGCTTTGAGATCTTAGATGAAAAAAAAAAAAAAGCCATGGAAACATGGTGATTCTGTTTAATTTGTTCTCAATCATATACATATAGAATATTTGTTTTGTAACGATGCTAATATTTATTCACAACTGTAAGATATGTTGTTCTTTTTGTTTATTTTTCCTTGTGGGATTTATTCAGAGCATAGCTCTGTGTTGAAATGGCCGTTGGACAGGATGGATATCCATTTTCAGGTAGTGCCGCCTAGTGGTCACATGTCTGTCACTGCACCTGAAGCTGTTCAAACGCAGGTTGATTGGCCTGGGTTGTTCAGTTCCCACTGGGCCCTGGAGAGTTGCATAGGACGATGAAAGAAAAAGGAAAGTTCCTGAACAGAGTGCGCAGGGGCTGGTCCTGGAGCAAGTGGATGTGAAATTTCTAATATTCAAGTCAGATAAATGGGGGGAGCTGAGTCGTTTACGGTGTTTTAGGGTCGGGGGGAGGGGCGGTGTATTTCCCAGTGGCTCCGTTTTGAGCAGCAACACATCAAGCACTGAAGTTTGGGCCCTGAAGTGAACATTTCAGGGTTTCAAGTCAGACTCTGATATTTACTAACAATACGACTTTGGGAAAAATGCGTATTTCAGTCTCATCTGTAAACTCAAGACAGTAATACCTACCTCAGAGGTTTCTGTGAGGATTAAGTGAAATATTTTGATTAAAACAGTACCCAGCACTTAAGTGCTCAACAAAAACACTGGCTTCTCTCATAACGGAGGTCTCAGCATCGATACCGTCATAACCTAGTGTGATGACCTGGGCGTTTCTCTGAGGACAGAATCTCAGTGGGAAGAGCCCCCAGATCAGAAAGCAGATATATTTATGAACTCTTCTCCAGTGAATGCATCTTGCAACTTAGAAAACTTTACAAGCTGTGTGATTGTTTATTCCTTTAGTTATTAACACGTGTCCCAAAGAATCCCCTTAGGGCCCCTGGGTGGCTCAGTCGTTAAGCGTCCAACTTCAGCTCAGGTCATGATCTCACGGTTCATGAGTTCAAGCCCCGTGTTGGGCTCTGTGCTGATAGCTCAGAGCCTGGAGCCTGTTTCAGATTCTGTGTCTCCCTCTCTCTCCGCCATCCCCCACTCATTCTCTCTCTCTCTTAAGAATAAATAAATTTTTTTTTTAATTTTTAAAAAAAGAATCCCTATATTGCCAGTTTAGAAACACCAGAGGAATAAATTTGATGTTCTGTGTAGCCATTTGTGCCTTCAGAAGGCATGAGAAGGGCGGATCCAGAAGCCTCTGTCAGCAAGGTCAGGCGTGCTCCTGCCCTCACAAAGCCCATCTTCACCCAGTTAAGATGCCCCGGGGATAGGCTGTAGCTGCAGCCAAGACCACAGGCCTTGAGAAATCTGCAGTGCAAGAGAGCCCGGAAGCTTCTTGTGATGGGCGGTAAGGGGCAAATTCTGAAGCTGAGAAATCCACCACTGGACGTGTTCTTCAGAATGCTTCATTTACATTCCGTTCACTTTGAATAGTTTTTTGCATTTTAATTGTAAACATTTCATTCATTCACTTGGGAAATATTTGGTGGGCACCTAATATGTGCCAGCAGCTGCTCTAGTTCCTGGGATACTTTGCTGTAAAGGAGCAGAGTTCTTGCCCTCATGGAGCCTGCAGCGGAATGTGGGAGACAGACAGTAAACAGATACATAATACGGTTTTACAGGGTAGAGTGCTAGACGAAAAATGAAGCAGAGTAAGGAAAAAGCATGTGGGGCTGGCTTGGTCCTTGATTTTTATTTTGTTTTTCTTATGTCTTTATTTAATTTGAGAGGAAGAGAGAGAGAGAGCGGGAGAGGGGGAGACACAGAGTCTGAAGCAGGCTCCAGGCTCTGAGCTGTCAGCACAGAGTCCAATGCGGGGCTTGAACCCACAGACTGTGAGATCATGACCTGAGCCGAAGTCGGACACTTAACCAAATAAGCCACCCAGGCGCCCCTGGCCTGCTCCTTTAAATAGGAGAGTCAGAAGGCACTGTGTGGCACCACTTGTGAGTTGAGACCTCACTGAAGAAGAGAGGGAGCCCTACAGGTGTCCAAATGAAAAAAAAAAAAAAAAAACACTGCTGACAGAAAGCACAGCAAGTGCAAAGACCCTGAGGTCAGGGAGGGTTTGGTCTGTGGATTGCCCCAAGGATGCCTTTGTGCCTGGAGGGATGGAAGCCAGAAGGCGACCAATAGTGAGGTTGGCAAGCCCACCAGGGCCGGATGCCATGGACCTGGTCATCACTGGCCTGTTAGCAAACAATTTTACGTGATTGCCATGGTTACACTTCCATCGACAGCCATGTTTACGGGATTCTGTGTTTCACCAGACACTGTAACTCATAGTAGTAAATGGCATAGTTTGAGCATAGCGGGGAAGTTTGTGTAGCTTAAACATCTAAAGCATGATAACGTATTTATCAGAAGCCACACTTCTTAGGGAGGGATGTGTGCCAGCCTCCTAGAATCTTGGTTTTCATGTCCCTGTCTTAGCCCCATGCTCAACTCACTCAACTGAAAGAGGGGATGGGCAAGGGGAGCTGGCACTGGAGTTGGAAGCCACCTCGTGCCAGGTGATTCTGATAAACAACTAATGAAACTGAATAATGAATTAACAGACGTTGTGACTTTAAATTCTCTCTCATTCTTCTAGTCTCCAAGGACTTTATCTCCTACTCCGTCAGCAGAAGTAAGTGCCATTTTTGAAAATTATCATGGGTGGGATTTGGGGAGTTCCTTGGACTTTTCCTAGACTGGAATTCTTGAAGAAGGACATTCAACAAAACAACGACAGAAACATCGTGTGTCAAATACTAGTGGTGATATATTATTCCATTGAATTGATACGACTAATTCACTTGATTATTCCCTGATGTGTTGAGAAAGTTTTATCTTTGTAAGCGGTGGTATGATAAATATCTTTGGGCAAATTTTTCCATATGACGATCCCACTTTATTTTTTCTTGGGATATGTTTCGCAAAGTGGGAAGTAGAATTTCCTGGGTTTGAGGCTGCCACCAGCTTATTCTCTGGTAAACTCAACTTAAAATGTCACCAGGTCAATGTTATGGACAGTGTGGGTTGGTGGTCAGAACAGGGAGGCTGGTCCTGAAGGGGGCTCTGCCTGTATGAGCTACACATCTACACAGTGGTCTCCTACCTGCTCTGAAACAGTCTGCATTTGTGGAGAAGGGAGGTCAGACCTTGTGTTGGACCTTCCTTGTTACACAGATCAGATGAAATGATGTACATGAACACGCTTTGTAAAACTGAAAAGCACAGTATAAACTTGGCCGTTGGAGATACTGTCTTTTCCCAGAGCTCTCTCAACACTGGAATTTATCATTTTACCTCTTAAAATTTGGCCCGATGCAAGTACTACTGGTTTCAAACAAAGTGCATTCACCACAGAATGCTCCTTTGCATACGTCTTTAAGGATATGGCCCTAAAATGTGTACATGAACAGGTGGACATGAGAGTTCCCGGGCAACGTCTGTAGAACGTGACTTCCCTTGGACCTGATGCTAGCCTGAATGTGTGTCTGACACCCCCACTTTCCCATACTCTCTCTCCAGGGCTACCAGGATGCTCGGGACCGGGTGATCCACCGGTCCACCAGCCAGGGCTCCATCAACTCCCCCGTCTACAGCCGCCACAGCTACACTCCAACCACGTCTCGCTCTCCCCAGCATTTTCACAGACCTGGTAAGGGCACCTGTTCCCGAAATCCACTCTGTGTGATAGTCTGTGCTGCTGTGTGATTGTGATTTTCTTTTCCCCACCGCTGACAGCGCGGTAAAAATCTAGCTGCCAAATAGATCTCCCCTTTCCCCAGAAAAAGGAAAAAAACTGATAACCCAACTACAATTTGTGTTATTTTATGGTTCTATTCATTATGCTTTATTAAATAATTACATTTTGACAGGGAACAACAGGAAGCGAGTCTTTTTTAAAAATAGTTTTAGACTTGAAGAAAATCCCACCACTTTGAGACTTAAAATGAAGATTCCCAAAATAATTTGATGTTCCTTTTAGGCACATCAGCCTCATCTAAAATCCAGCATTAGCCATTTGTTGGTGGGTTTATTGTGTTTCCCTGATCCAGGCACACGGTGTTACTAAGCATGCTTGGTTAAGCACCTTCTAGAAGGAAGTATTACATGCAACCTCAGGGTTGTATTTGATAACTTTTCAGATCCATTCCAGCCCATAGATTTTGGACCAGACTTAGAAAACAGAAAAACAGTGTAGAGACGAAGTATGCTAGAGAGTATCAAATAATAGTGGACTCCAGGTGACCACGTGTACACAGTGCAGTCCCTGTGACTATCGGTGGGTGTTGCGGGTGTGGAACAGAAGAATGGAGATCCCAGCACAGATCCTGGGTTCCCTGGGAAATAGATTCCCACAGAGAGGCTCTGGCCTTCTAAACAAACTTGGTGGCAGCATACATCTCCAAAGACTTCATTGTAAGCTTCTTGTTCTGCACAGACTTTTGAGAACAGACTCATATGCTAGCCTATTTTATAAAATAAAACCAGAGGAAATGAACAGAATATAAAAAAGGCTGCAACCTTTTCCTTAAAACCATAGATTTAATTCTCATACAGGATTGAACTTTTAGTATATGATTCTTTAATAATGTATAGTTTCCCCAAGGCCATAAATACCTGGTATTTGTAGAGTTATGTTACATGAGAATTTTTCAGGAAATGGATTCTTTTTTTTTTTTTTTCATATGCAGATATATTCATTTCATTCGTGCCCCGGACCTGGGTCTGGATTTAAGCCCTTGTCTACATGGGGGACAAGACATCCTCTGTGTGACTACCCCTCCTTATAGGCATATGCTGAGGTCACTGAGGCCATGGCCATGACCTTATCAGGATGACGTGGGGCTACAGGGAAATCATTGTTCCATAGGCTGCCAAATAGCAAGGGGGTGGTCAGCCTGGGAAATTATTTCCCTAGAAGATCATGTCATCGTTGAGCACTGAAAGTGTTTGTCCGTTCCAGCCATGGTTCTGATGCCCGCAACCTTTAGGACATTCCCCATTCTAAGTGCCCTTCCTCCTCCTCACAATCCGACTCTTAGGGCTTACAGTTATTTTTTTCAAGATCTATCCTTGTCAAGTGGAGTCGGCGGGGTGCTGACCGCAGAGTTGTGGTTGGTATAGGACACCTCTGATTATCCACTCCGTGGGTTCCAGAAGCCAGGTGGTGGGTCACGCCCCCCAGGGCCGGGTTTGGTTTCAATGGTCCATTCTTCTTCCAAGATCAGGAAGCTGCCAGTCCCCTAGTGCTGGCACCACACAGCTCTCAGGATCACGAGTAGCTCTTTGCCACCTGGGGAGCACAAAGGGGCCCTCCCTCTCCGCAGGCAGAATAAAATTAAACTTCTAGTGGGAGAGGTCTGCGGCTTTAAACAAACAAACAAACAAACAAACAAACAAAAGGATCTGACCCTTACAGATAAGTACTTCTTTTCAATGTTCTCAAAATGATTGTCATTTTTTTTTTACATGTGTGTCAGGGGGTTCTGTTTTGCCAGGTGTTTTTTTAAAAGCAGCTATTTCTGAGTCTAAGTGACACGCCCGTACTGGCCTGACAGTAAGGTGTCATCCTGACAGAGAATGTCCCGGTGGCTATTCCTTCGCATAAAGCCATTTATTCGCAGAGAGTAACTCTGTTCCAACCTGAACCTATTTGCACATCCTCCCACTTTGCCTGACCCTTAGCAGGTGCGTTCTTAACCCTTTCTCCTTCCTCCTCTTTCAGACTCCTGATTAACGGTCTTTATTTTCGCCCCCCCCCCCCCCCCCCCCCGGAACGATGATGGTGTCCCTGCTCCTGTGTTAATTTCTGTTCTTCTTTTCTGTTTCCACGTTGCCCTGCCCCTGGCTCCTTGCGCACAGAGCTGCTGTCTCCTGGTGTGCACCTGCGCACCAGCAGCCTCAGCTCCACCCACAGCGACTCCCGCCCCAACTCCCCCTTCCGACACCACTTCATTCCCCATATCAAAGGTAAGGAGGCAGGCTTCTCCAGGCGGCACCCCGCATAGTGGAGATTTATTAGCACCCCGGGAAGGCTAATAAGGTGTATCTCCAGAGTTAGCTCCCAGCTTTCGACCTCTCCGCATGCCTGCGTGTGTCATCACTACACCCAGCGTCTTAGAACTGGCATGGCATCTCTCGGTAGGAGAAGTATGTCATTTCTAAGGGCTCTGGATGAAGAAACAGGAAGTGTGTGTAAGACCAGGAGATTTATTAGCCACTGCTGAGGAAAAGAACACCCATATATTATCATTTTGTTTTTCTGTGCATCAAAAGCAAAATATAATATATAGTTGGGGTATCTTCCTGGTTTTGCTATGTGACGTGGCTCAGCAAAACATACCGCTGTTTAGCAATAAGTATCCAGAACTTGTCTCAGTGGTAAGAAGCCATTTAACCACTTAATGATATTAAGACATTTGGATGGTGTAAAAAGATCTATGGCGGTGTGACTTAAGTGCCTCTCGTTGAGCCAACCCTTAGAGTAACCGTCTTTTGACTGCTCCTGATTTCTGCATGATATTGAAGAGGAGCTTTGCCTTCTGTTTTCTGTTTCTGCCCCACATTCCCTTTATGGCATTCCCATTGTTCCCCTCATTGTCCATTTTACTTCTGTAGCAATCCTCAACTGGGGCCCATGTTCCCCATCCGAGAGTCCTGATTGGGTTCCAAAGGGGCCATAATGTAAAATAAGTATGAGCTCCCAGAAGGATGCTAACTTTTTTCATAGTCTTCACGTGAACCAAATTAACCAATGACACTAGCTGAAGGAGGGAGTGCCCAGGCCAGTACCCTGTTGTAAGTTTCCTGTTATATAAGTATCTTGTTAGAAGACTTGAGGTAGACCTAACAGATCCTAACTCTGTGTTCCAAAATGCTCAGATCACGAGCACTGCTACTGAGTAGCCAAAATGCCATTCTAGTTGACCGAGCTTTCATTTACCGTCCACTCAAGCTATTTTCTTATTGCTCGCTTGAATTTTTGAGCCACCGAGTCCTAAAATATAGACGCACTGCACTTAATCAGCACCCAGTTATCTTATGTGTGCTATTTTCGCATTCTCTGTGCTGTAAAAATAATGTTGCTGACGTGCTTGTTGAAGAAACATACCCTTTGTCATTAGCTAAGAAGCTAGCATTTTCTATTTGGAGCAGCGCTTTCTAAAATTCTTGACAGATTACATAAAATTATTATTGCTAATTAGTATTTGGGGGGGTTACTATCTAGATATCAAAATGATACTTTAGGGAATGTTGATAAAGCCATAAGAAATTACTGAAAAACTTTAGAGGTGTATTTTAAAGAGACTTTAATATAGAAATCCTTGCCAAACTAAGATATGTTTGTTTGTGTCGAATATGCCAGAGAAAATAGATTTTTAATTCAAAAAGGTAAACTGCCTTGCTTGGTTATTTCATGTTACACCTTTCAGAAGAGATGCTTTTCGTAGGAAGAAAAATGTCACGTGCCCTGTAAAGTTACACAAAGTCTGTACAAATACACGTCACGAAATGTCGAGGCTCACACAATCTTGTGTCTGTGAGCAGCTTTATGGAGAGTTGGAATACCCAAATGAACACTGGAGTCCTAGGTTTAAGTATTATCTGTGTCCTTTGCCAGCAGTGGGACCTTGGATTGTCGACTTAACCTTTTGAGTGTCACTTGCTGCCTCATCTAAATCTCTCCTAGGTCACTGAGGGTACTGAGGTCAAGTACCCTGGTGTATAATAAGCACTCAGCTCACCTTGTCTGTAAGAGTTTCCCCCTCGGCTTGGTGCCCTTAAGGCACCTTTGATTGCACCGTTTCACTCTATTCTCTGGTTAAGGGGCCCTGGTCAAGAGCTCACATCAAGGGAGTGACAGCACGTGAACCAGAATGCAGCCTCCCCGCCCCCCCCAATCCCTCACTCATATTGAGCGTGTGTGTTTCAGTATAAATATACATTAAGTATCATTTTTAAAGCAAACTTTTTTTTTCCATCTCTATTTAACTAGAACATTGCATTCTTATTGAGGCTAAGGCAAACAGCTGCTTTCAGCCACTTAAATTTTTACCTCTCAACAGAAATACCACACAATTATAAAAATGACAGTACCTCGGTGTGCTTAAATGGCACCTTATTAAAAAGGTAGATATACAGTTGACCCTTAAACAATGTGGGGGTCCCCTGCACAGCGGAAAATCTTTGTATAACTTTTGACTCCCCAAAAACTTAACAACAAATGGCCGACTGTTGACTGCATACTTTACCAATAACACAGTCAATTAACACATGTTTTGTATGTCATAGGTATTATATACTATATTCTTACAGTACAGTAAGCTAGCGAAAAGAACATTTTATTAAGCAGATCAAAAGGAAGATAATTTACAGTCAAAAATTTACACTTATCCACGCATAAGTGGACCCATGCCATTCAAACCCATGTCATTCAAGGGTCAGAGGTATATTCTTTTCTGTCTTCAGACTGAATTTGAACTTTTTGACACACTATTATAGGTTTAAGTTGTAGAGAACATTAGGCCGAGAGGGATTAGCTTGAACCTGAGCTCACACTCAAAAGACACCCAATGGCTCATCTCCCATATGTCTGTAAGCCGTTCCTATAAAATAGTTTACATACATTGGATACAAAATGTAATGTACATA